ATTCCCCTTGTGCTCTGAAATTTTCCTTTCAAAATGCAATATTGAATTGGCCTTGACAAGAGCCAGGTGTTAATTCTGATCAGACAGTTACTTCATTACTAACCATATTACTCATCCTGCTCTGCTGTGTTTTCCTCCCCCAGAGTAGCTAAACTCAGCATTTTCATGCTCACAAAAGTGCGGTTGGTGTGCACAAGACTGGAAATGTGATTTTCTTTGATGACGAGGTGATTTGTAATTTTAAGAAGTTAGTTCCCAAGAAGCCAAAACCAGTCACAGCAGTCTGGGACAAGTCCAACTACGAGCAGTCTTCCCGCGCTAAAGGATACATTTTTGAACACTTGGGGAGTTTGGATTTGCAGGTTACAGCTACAGCTGGGAACAGAGAGAGAGAAGGAAGAAGAGGGAAGAAGGAAGGAGAAGAAAAAAGTGGAAAAATGTAGGAGTTTTTCTGAGCACAAATGACACATACCATGCCCAGGCTGGGGGCAGTTCCCCTCCAGTGGTTGTGGTCCTTCTCAGAGACGCAGTGGCTTTGGTGCCGCCGGTGCCGTGCAGTACGGCTCTCAGCACGGGCTGCTTTGAGAGTAGAGGTGTTAGTGCTCTTCCTACCTTTTTGAAAGCTGGTTCACAGGGTATTTCTTACCATTTTTGAGGACTATTCTTGTCAGCATCATCGTCTTTATCCAACATTAAACTTGCTCAATTAAGTCCCTTGCAATATAGGAAAAGACCTTCTGCCACCAGCAGAAGTAATTTTGGCATCTGGCTGAGCCGCAGGATGAAGCGTACCCAACAACTGATGTCACGACGTCCCGTCCAGGTTTGGATTGCCATGCTAGTTTTCTGTCCTAATAGCTCCCCAAGTTTGATGGGCAAGGTGTTGTTGTTGCTTTTATTTTTAAAAGAGAAATATATATCAAAGAGTAGCATTTCACTGGAAAGGTGTCTCTAGAATGGGGAATGTTCCCCTGGCATTTTCTATGTCCTATCCGCTGACGCTACATGTAAAAAATTTATACCGGGGGTTGGCTTCCCTGTTTGTGCAGTAGCTCGATGGTCTGGCAAAGCAGGAGCTCAAGGGCTCCTCCGGAGATTTCATCCTCAGCTGCTCTGGAATCTCTTTTCTCTGCCACACTGCCCTCACCCTCACCCACGTGTGCTGGTAACTTGCGAGGGGATCTCAAAAAAGGGAATTTTCCAAACTGAATAAACATTTCCCATGATGAAAGGCAGAAGAAAAGGAAATAAAACAAAGGGATGGGTTTCATAGTGACAGATACTTGTGTGAATGCCAGGGCACTTTCAACCCTCATCAGTAAGGACATGAACACAAACAGGTTTTTTAATCATCTCTTTCTTTAAAGTTTGTTTCACAGACAAGCTGGCTCCATGGGACAGAAATAAGCAATGGAAAAACTACAATTCGTGCACAGCAATAACAGCATCTCTCCTGGAGGTTTGGAGCTTGCGCTGCCTCCAGCCCTGCGCATCCTCGCTGCCCCCTGGAACAGCAAATTCCTCGGTGTGGAAGCTCTGCCTCCATGGAAATGCAAAGACAGACAGACATCAAAGAGTAGGTATCAAGAAAGGTCTTGTTTCCCCATTAAATGTTACTGATGCAAATGTGTCTTCCTATTTCCATAACTCTTGGTTTCGGGACACAGCTGTCCTCACTGTGTAATTGCAATGATGCGTATCTAAACCTGTACCAAAGTGCAAATTCCTCCGTGGGAGGGTGGGATGAGGCTGATCAGCATCCAGGGGACGTTACTTCTGTCCCTACGGATTATGAATAACCCCCTTGTCGTTAGCACCTAATTTACTGGTTTTATTTGATTTATTCCAGGAGAAACTGGAGCTTCCACCTCTCCCCTTCGCGAAGAAGCAAGCGAGAGCAACGCCCAGACGGGCACACGCGTGTGCCCCGGCGCAGCTGAGCTCACCCACGGGGGGGAGGCTTTGCCCACACATCTGTGCCCCACGACGGAGGCACTTCTACAGATGCCGAAGAGCCATATGATTCCTGAGCTGGAGCCAGGCACATCAGTGCAAGCACTGAGTTATAAATGTGCCTGGAGTAAAGGGGCAGCAATTTTTTGACCCTTTTCAGCCATCTGCTGCTTCATAGAGTTGGGGGTATTTGTACGTAGAATTTGGCTGTGACCATCTCGGTTGGTTTGGACTGGGATGTGTGTGAAAGCAGTTTCAGGTCACGCATTCTCCAAGACAGACCACAGGGAGACAGCGTGTATTAAGTATAAATTTGGTTTTGTTTTAATGACTCAGGCATGATTATCACCTTGTCATTTGTAGAAAATCACAGCCTCTGAAGGTGGGAGATGCTGTCAATTATGTAGCAATATTTAATCAACCAGCTAAAAAGGAATATCCTCCTAGCTCCGGGTTTACTGTAAGAAGAGCTACTTGTGGGCAAGATGGTGGCATCTTTAAGAAACTCTTTAATGTACTCTTCAGAGCTAAAACGACATTTTGTGGAGTAAAACTTAAGTGGGTCACATAAAAATAACAAAACAAGCCAACAAACTTATCTCATCACAGACATATTGACATGCCTCCCAGAGCAGGGAGCAATCCAACTCCTTGCATCTGGATTTCTTGGTTCATTAGAAAGATAACGAGCACCTAACCAAATCTAAGAACATGAACAAGCATCTAACAAAATCTCAGCATCTCTACAGCACTCCTAAGAAGCTGAAAACAGGTTTTGTGGCATGATTCTCCACATCTAGTGTTTTGGCCTATGTTGTCCTGAGATTTTCATGAATTGCAAATAAATGCATGAGGTAAGCAGTGACAGCGATCCAAGACAAAACAGGCGCATGTATAATAGGCTCTGATTTGACATGGGCTATAACATGTGCCTTGTAGCTCAAGGAATCCCTCGAGTGCTACAGTGAAAACATCTTGAACTGGGTATGTAATGAAACCATAGCGTTTTTATAATATAGGAATTATGGGGATTTAATACAACTACAGGATGCTAAATTTTAGAAACAAGGAGAATTAAACCTGGCCTGTTGAAGAATGTGCCTCACTGGGAAGAGCAGATCCCAGCACTGTGTCTTCGGTGGCCAGGATTATCAGTCCGCATGGGAACTGTATTTATTTGGACGAGAGTTTTTGGAGCAGGCAGAACTCCATACCTCCTCTGTCCAGTTTGTAAATCTATGTGCAATTCTGCATGTCACAAGAGAAAACAGAAATGAGGTGCTGAACAGAGGAAATATATCTGTGCAAAGTAAGCTCCAAATTGGTCCCTCTAGGACCTCCAAACTAAAATACTAAACAACAGAAACAGAAGCAAGTGGCACTAAGCCCCATGCATACAGAGCATGTACAAACACCCCGTGAGCCAGACCTGGCCTGTTTCCCCGCAGTAGCCGGTACCAAGCAGAGAGGCGATGGTCGCCAGCAAGGCTCAGCAAAGCCAGCAGCAGTTGATGGTCCTCAGGCACTGCTCTGCGATGTGGCAATACACAGGCTTTGCAGTGCCCAAAACCCAGGACAGGGCCAACTGCTAAATTACTTCCAAAGCTCGAGTTCCCTAAACACCAGGAGGCTGCAGAAGCTATTTGTCTCTTAGCCCGAAGGCTTCACATCATAGAGAAACTCCCCAGAACAGCCGTCTTACAAGAGAGTTATTCATTTCTTACTCAACCCCTGCTTGAATTCGAAACAACTTTCAAGTGCAGACTTCTCTTCCAGTACAAGCAGCCTTAAAAAAGCCACATATTACCCTTGCCTCTTTTTAAAGATATAGAAGGTCTGTAGAATTCATGTTCAAGCTAAATGCTTCTCAAAAAGAAAGCAGGGAAGGAAGCAGAGAGGGGAGGAGAGCTCCCAGCCCCTTGCTCGGGAGCCCCCCGGGAGAGGAATTGCTTTGCAGGCAGTGGCAGCAGGGCTGCCCCAGCTCTTCACCCTTCCTGGGGGCTTCGAGGGCTTGCCTGCTAGCACAGCTGAACCAGGTGTGTGCGGTCAGGAGACACAGAATTACCTTAGCACCGAGGCTGCGAGTTGCGGCTCTTCGCTTGCCTCGCTGCAGCCAACTGGGATGTCCCTGCCGCAGGGCAGAAGCCCTCAGGAGCGGGTTCGGGAGGGAGCTCTGGGCATCTGCCGTCCCCTGTCCCTGCTTCTCAGTCACAGCCTTAGAGGAAACAGAAATCAGGCTCAGGAGAGCTTACAGCTGAGCTACAGCTCTGACCCGCCAGCGAGGTCCCATTTTGGCCCCCGTATCTACACAAGAATTAAGCACTATTCAGGCTCTGAGGCTCTGGAGGCCTCGATCCCAGAAGAGGACCCCATGGGCTGACTGCAGGGTGTCGATACAGCCTATAGGAACATATATAAGCACTTACGAACGTAGGGGATATCTACATGTGGCATATCTATTGCGTAAGCCAGGTCAAAACGTTAGCTGTCATACCATCTCCTTGCATGTTTGTATGTAGTCTGCTTTACCTACCCCTTCTAGGCTGGGTGATTTCCTTTGTTTTATTACCAAGATAGCATGTTTCCTGCAATATATTAGAAATATATTTGTCCTTCTGCTGAAGCAAGAGAGAAACATCAGGACCAGGAAAACTACAGTCTGCTAAGCTCTGTCATCTCTTATTTACCTAACATTCCTGGCAAATTACTCTGGATAAGCAATAATTGAGATTTGTCTACGTTACATTTTGCAAATCACTTTATAAATTACCTTAGGTACAAAGTACGGTTTCTGCTTTCTATCTGGATGGTGAAAACTCTGAATAATGAATGACAGCTAGCAAACAGCAAACAGCTCCTAGTGATAAGGCTGCAACATGCACACAATAACATGGAATTTGTAAACATTTCAATGAATACTAATGATTGTGTGAAGAGCTTGAGATTACAAATAACACCAGATCACAGTCACAGAATGAAAGTGGTCTGTGTGTTCATTAAACATCACGGGGAAAAAAAAGCCCTTTCTCCATCACATCTGAGGCAATATGCACAAAATTCGGGTCCTCTCCGCTGTGGCCATGCCGCAGCTGCACAGCCGGGCTGCTCACCACCCTGCTGGGAACTCAGCTGGGTGCGTGGTTAAATCCGATCTTCCTCAAGGCAGCTCCGAAGCCACGCCTGAAGTTGCTCGAAGCCTGCCATGGGTGCACGCCACCCTCCAGCCGTTATCCTACCGACTGGGAGTTTCTCGCACACACGCAGCATCCTCGTCTCTCCCACCCGCAGCTGCCACGAGCCCACAGTGACATCCTCCGTCGGGACACGGCAGCGGCGGGGACCGAGTGCTCTGCTTCGTGGAGTGGCTTGGGGACACTTGGCTCCTCGAGGAAGGGGACGCGCGGTGTCAGGCAGCTGCAGGCCTGCCCGGCTGCCTGCCCGCCAGGCACAGCCTGCCTGCACTGCCCCAGCACAGCACCTGGGAAAAGAAAGCCCGGATCTAAACGCGGAGCCAGCATGTTGTCGCAGTGCTGGGCAAGTTAAGGGACAGGCTGAGGCTGGTCCTTGCTGGAGGCCACCCTTCGGTGGGTGCCACCACAGGCCACCCCTGCGGGAGCGCTTGGCAGCCTGCGCTGCGCTCAGAGGTGCTCTCACCTCCTGGCTCTGTGGGCTGCAGATGATTTACCGTGATTTAAAAGAGCCCTTTCAGCCTCCTCCCAGCAGGATCAGCACCTGCTATCGAGACAGTGGCCGCCGTGGTGGGTTTGAAGAGGAATTCTGTGAGGCTCTAACAGTTCCTGATGTGAAAATAGCTTTTGGAGTGACCAGAAGGCAGCAAAGCCCCTGGGCATTAGCTTCATGCATGTTTCTGGGTTTGCACAATTTTCTTGCTTTGCTTCTTTTGATCTCTGTTCTTCAAAGATGTACACAACTTATCAGACTTCCCCAGAAAGAAAGGCGCTTGGCCAGGGTCTCCAGCCAGTGTCCGTCTCTGGTTTCCAGTGTTGCTGCTCTGCACGTCCCCGTGCCGTTCTCCAGAGGCGGTGACTGTGGTGAGCTGATCCTGCCCTGGTGACGCGACACCCGTGAAGACGTTTCCACTCCCGCGGTCTGGAGCAGGCACTGGGCACAGGGGTTTTACAGTGGTAGGTAACGTCGTCCTGGAGTATCACCAACCGAAGAAATTATTCAAACAAAAGTTATTCGCTTTAGCTATGATAAGCTAAACAAGTGGAGGGAGGAGGGAGCATTAATCATCCCGCTGTGGGGGTGTGGGCAAGGACTCCGTGGTTTGCAGGCCAAGCGACATGGCCACTTGGTAAAGAGTTGCCGGCTCCCAGGCAGCTTTACCTCCTCCTCCTGCTGCCAGCCAGCGACACGGGCCAGGGCATCACCCTCTTTCCTCTGCCTGCCCAGAGACCACTCCTGGCTGAGCTCTGATTAAAAGACAAGCTAAGCCTTGGCCTCCACTCCTCTCCACTGAGGCAGAGACGCCGAGGCAGGAACCACAAGCACTCCCCGTGGCCTTTATCCTGGGGGGATGCTCTGGGGAGACGCAGGGACGTTCCTGTGGGGAATGCAAGGACGCTCTGGGAGGAATCGAGGATGCTCCCGGGTTCGGGGGGAAGGAGGAATGTAGGGGTGCTCTGAGGGCAACTCGGGGATGCTCTGGGGTAATGCCGGGATGCCCCTGGGTTGAGAGGGGAAGGGTGCTCTGGAGGGATGCAGGGACGCTCTGGCGGATGCAGGGTGGCTCCGGGGGGACGCGGAGGGCTGCAGTGCGGGTCCCCCCC